TTTTGTATTACTGGTTCAGAGAGAGGATGGGGTCAGCTTTTCTCTTGATGATAATCTGAATCCAAGAGAAATACAAAAGAAGAAGGAGACTAGAAGGGCTTACCTGGTTCAGAGAGAGGATGGGGTCAGTTCTCTGCTGAACCAGGGAAGGAACACTGAGACGGGAAAACTAGAGATAAAGTGTGACATCTTGTAATAATTCTTGTGAACCCTGACAACGGAGGGAGGGGGTTTACAGAGTGGGAGCTGAGCTGGTGTTGGATTGATGGACAAGAGGTGGATTTTGGACCAGGACAATCTGAGTGGTTGATGTGAAGGAGGCTGAAGAAAAAAATTTCTTCTCAGATTCAAATCTAATGCCTGTACAGGCTTGTATGTTTCAGGTGTATGATTCAGGGATTTGAATCATCATTAGACATGGCCTCAAGTCCAGAAGAGCTGGGCCCTGGTTGCCTGATTCAGTTCAGGCGCTTTGATCAATGGGCTCAAGTGACATGGGCTCATGAAAAAAGATAATTATAATTGATTAAGTGGCCATCAATTCTATATACGTGACAAAGGCATTCATGAGGGAAAGGCAATCATAATGGATTGATAAATGATTAAGTGGCCATTACATCTATATACATGAGATGGTCAATCATGAAATCGTGACCTCAGTGCCTGCGTGCCCAGTCTGACCACTGAGATCAGCCCCAGGTCCTCATCCGTAATCAAATTGGTAGGGCCAGGGGTTTGTCTAGTGTTGCTGGTGGATTCATTGATGTTGATGGTGGATTGACCGATCTCGTTGGCCAAATGAGCAGAGTTGACAGTGGAATGGTGAATGTTTCCTGGGGTGCTGGATCTTGTGGATCTTGGTTGCCAAGGGATTCGAACCAAGTCGGGTAGTTCCAGTTCTTTGCACACCTTGTTGCACTTGTGCTTCTCGAGAAATAATTCCATGAACTCTTTGGCATATTTATTCTCCCAAATAGACCTGGGGATTCAAAGGGTATAGAAATTATGAGTGTCAAATACAGCAATAAAGAGGATGGATGTATAGCACATACTCCGTGTTCAAATCTACAATGTGTGGTTTGGAAATAAGGGTACCATAGCCTTTAAATTTATGAAAGGTGATCTGGCCACGAGTATGATTATAGACCCAGTGTTGAAACGAGTGGAGCAAAAATTTGGTGGGAGAGCGAGGTTCATCGGTGAAGTAGACATCGTTTTCAATTGACAAAAGGCACGTATAGCCACCAGTGATTTCTTCTTCCATCCAGAACACTCAAGATGGTTCATCGCGAATATTGTTGGGCGGGAGATTGTAGTTGGGTTCTTCAGTGGAATCAAACATATCATCATCCTGACCAGGAACATATTTATCCTCATGTCTCGGTTGAGTAAAGATGTCATGGTGAATAGGAAATCCATTGACAATCTGGTGGGTAGTTGGTTAGTCCAAGAAATTTGTAGAGGATTTGAATAACAGACACTCACCCGTAACCTTTTTGCTGTTTGCTTAATAATTGTCCCACCTTCCGACTGACTTATAGCCTGAAAGAATTGAGCCAGGAATTGCCTGGAAACCGCGTAGGTCCTCAGCCAATAGTTTGGTACACATGAATATGAATCATGTATTAGATCCTTGCGGACTCGAGAGTATTTGGCTACCATGGGGAAAACCTTTCCAGAGTCAAGAACCTCAGCTGCTATGATTTTGGTCGTCTCTTTCACCTTGAAACATTTATTGTAATTCACACGGTAGAGACAAATTTTCTGAGGCATGTTGAGCCCATCGGGATCCAGGCTCAATCAAACTCCATCAACCCAGTCAGAGCTGTCGGAATCTCGGTATGACACGGTGTCCTCCATGCTCCCAAATCTCTCCCAAGATAAATCGTTTGGATCCAAGATTGTTTTGGCTCACCCTAATAACAAATTCTTAGTCACTTAAGTCAGGTGGTTATTTAAAATAGTGACACTTACAAGGTGGGAGGATCCTAACAATCACAAGTTCATCGTCCAAGTTTCTCTTCAAGGCTTCAACATGGGGGTTGTTTTCTTGTTGAATGACTGAGGAGAATTTTGGCTGTTCATCGTGGTCGTTCCAAACCACCGGCTGAGAGGGAGGAGGAACAAGTGATTTATTCTGTGGTACATTAGTGGCTGGAGTTGACCGGGTTGCTGATGATAAAGAAGGTAGACTTGGAGGAGGAGGTAAAGTTGATCGATTCTGGGGTAAAGTTGTGGTCGATGTGGAACCGGTTGCAGATGTGAAAATGGTCGAAGGAAGACTGGATTCAGAGCTGTCACTTTCAGCGGCTGAATGCAAATCTTCATGATATTCAGTGTCCTTTCCTGATTGGAGAGCATATCGTGCAGCTTGAGCTTCAATTCCTTCTTGTTCTTCTTCATCAAGGGTGTGCCGTTCAAAGGTGTCCCGGTCATAAATCAAGTCGATTGCCTTTTCCCGCCTTAAGAAATCGATAAACGATTCGTAATCTTCAACAGATCCTCCTTTCTTGGTGCCTGACCGACAAAAACTGAAGTGCTCGACACCAAACATTTCCCTGTCCTCAGTCATCTTTGTCCGGAGTTCCACTTTACCGTTGAACTTGTTGCAGAGCGTGTCAATCAGCTCTTGAAAAGAATCAGGATTTGACCAGAGCACAAACTGATTGCTTCGAATGACCGATTGTGAAGGGGCATATTTGCCTCGGGCCCACATCTCAAAGCCACATTGGACCGAAATCTTATTGGGAGGATTCGTAGCAGGTAGGGCACCTTTACTTGCCGGAGCTCTTCTTGCAACTGTACATCCGAGTTGGTTGTTTGGGTAAGGTTGAGTTTTCGAGACTCTTGAAGCTCGGGCCAATTTGTATGCAGGGTTCAAGATGGCTGGGACCACAGCTGTGTTGGTAGCAATAAGGTTACAGGTGAGTTACAACGTTTTCAGTAGAACTATATGGGATTCACACGCATGAAATTGCATACTTTGACTGCTGCCGGTCAATCCATTCACCACTGTGTTCACGGCAATAGGAAATGCCACGCATTGTGATGCTTGGGCTGATTTGTATGCAGGGTTCAAGACCGCAGGGACCACAGATGTGGTGGGATATTAGACAGTAGTAATAAGGTTATAGGTGAGTTTTAACGTTTGAAGTAGAACCATATGGGATTTACACGCATGAAATTACATACTTTGACTGCTGCCTGTCAATCCATTCACCACTGGGTTCACGCCAATAGGAAATGCCATGGACTGGCCGAGTGGGCTGGGGACAGTAGGTGTGGTGATTGGATTGGAGTATAACGCTCTGGCCCTTTGGATTGCCTCTTGCCGTTTAGATTGGAGAACCTCTTGAGCCGAGGTCAATTGGCCAGTTGGAGGTCTGATTTTTGGAGGAGGTGCTGAGTTTGGAATCATTTTGTCGACACAGTCATTGCATAATCCACGGAAAACCACGGGAGATTTTCCACACTGGAAACAGAACATCTTTTTTTCTATGCAAGTTACGTTAGTTGTGTTTGGATATTAAGGGTGCATAAGTATGGGATTCTGCTGCTTACTCTTGATCTAGAAATGGAAAGGACTGGGTCGTCTGGATGTTGTGAGGACAGGACTGGATCGTCTGGAAGCTGTAAGGGAAGGGCTGGATCGTTGTCTGGATGTGACTTATGCAAGGCTTGTTTTGTCCTTATGTGTAACGAGTAACGGGTAACACTATGGAACGAACAGAATCTATGTGTTTACATTTCTGATACAGGTGGGGAATGTGGCTTCTGTAGTGCGCCATGCCCTGTATGATTTTCAGGCTGTATTTGACATTTTCTAAAATTGATGGCTAATTTGGCGGTTCAGTGCCATGCATGGCGGCTCAGGGGCAATGATGGCGGCTCAGGAGCATGGGTGGCCAATTTGGCAGTTGGATTCAATTTTTGATTTGGCCATTCTGGCGGTTCAGGGGCGTCATTTGGCGGTTGTTTGGCCAAATTGGCGGTTCATCCCCATGTTTTCATTTTTTTTGGCCAAAATGGCTGTTCAGTACCTCCATAAAAAAGCCTCCGAGAAAAATTCAAAAAGAAGGAAATCAATGTAAAATTGGTTGCCTCAGAGGCTATGATTGCGGATTCGCTCACCAAAGCCGCTCCTCATTCCTCTGTGAAAAAACTCCAGGATCACTGTCTCTCAATTCTTTCTTCATCAAACAAGGAGGGCTGTTGAGTTTTTGTGTTGTCCGCTTGTATGATCAACTATGTCCAGTACACTCGCCGCAGCACAATGAGACGGACAATCGCAGCTCTCAGCAACCGCTCAATAAAAGAGACTCTCAGTATCGGTTTTTTGATCCTCAGACTCGACAAGACTCTCATCCTCAATCTTTGATCACGACTCTTGGCTCACCAGACTCAACTCAAGATCACTCCAAGACCATCAAGACCTGAATTGGTATAGTCCAGCCTGATCTGTCTGCTGTACTTCTCAATCTGACCTCTCTGCATTCTTCAATACTCAAGATTCATTCCTCAACAACTTCGAGTCATCTGATTTAGGCACCTATATCATTCAGTTTCTAATAAAAATATCTGATTGTTTGTTTCCTTCTCTTTTTCTTTGTTTGTCTTTTGTTCGATGAAGAAATCACTGACCTGCTTAATTTCATCCATTGTCTGTCTCTGTTCTCATTTATCAGTCATCTATATTAAAACCTCTTCCTCTTTGTCTCTTCATCAAAAGTTCGCTGATTGTTAATCCTCGTCTATTACTAGTGGTATGCTTTTATTCCTTCTCCTTATGTTTCTTGTTTTCTTAATGTCTCTAACCCTTGTTTTTTTCTTTTAGACTGGTTTTGGTTCTTAGCAATTTTATCAAGATTTCTTCAGTAAATCTCAAGACAACATCACCTTGCCTGTGGAAACCGCGTCTCCTGCTGCTCCGTCGACCGCTGTGGTCATTATTCCTGTGTATGAAGGGAGAAAAATCAAAATTTTATTATTTATCAATGAAGGACTTAAGATATGGACAAATGGACGTCAGAAATGGAATCTACGGCCAATTTAACCCCTAGTCACTCACTGGAACCACCTTCATATCTCTACTGGATCAGAAGTTACACGGATCAAGGATGTCACACGGAGAATCACAGGATCAGAGGCACTCAGCTGGAGGGTATATTGCATGGGGGTATATTGAATGTTGCATATTGAATTCCTTTATTTCATATTGAATTCCTTTTATACTTACAGAACCACAAGTTGGCCACCAGTTGTACCAGTTAAATTCCCATTTATTCAGCCACAGAACACATGAATTCCTTTCTTACGGCTTACATATAAAAGGGATGCATTGTAGATAGTCTAGCAAAATTCCCTCAGGATTTTCAAGGATAGGGCAGCTAAAATGCCTCATACAGGGGGTCCCTTGGGGCTAAAATCCCTCATAATTTACTATATAAGGAGGCCTCTGCCTGCCAGTTGTTTCCCTCCTCATCCCACTCAGTACACATTTTTGGTGGGACACCTGTCACAGATATTTATTACACAAGAGGTTCACAAGTAGTACAGTTCACAGTTGGAATATATACACAGTTTCACAAACATTACACAGAAGAGCCAGTCCTTTGTTCCAGTCCTGGTTGAAGCATAGTGCTCCCAGACCCTTTGGGTTCAAGAACCACCTCTATTACATTATACATATACAGCATCAAGGAAGAGCACGAGTATCAAGACATCAAGACGAGAAACAACATCAACAACTCAATCAATTCTTTGGACAACAAGAGCAACCTTCAACAATTATACAACCATCTTTGAACATAATCCATTATCACCAACCAAACTGCCAAGCTTACCTTGGTGGTCTTGTTTTCTGATAATATAGAAAGGCAGAGTTTGCAGCTCATTTCATCCCTTTCTCCATTCAGCAAAAAGGATCTTACAATCACTTTGTGAGTCTTACACCGCTCCGTCTGCCGCTCTTCATTCCCTTGCACCCCCTCCCGAGTTATCTTATGCATTGAGGATGCAACTACATGACGCTGCGCAACGGTGAGCCTTGGAGCATGGGTATGCAATTGTCAAGAGAAACACTACACAGTCCAATGGAGAGGACCGAGTTACTTATAGATGCGACCTATCTGGCGAACCAGTGGCACCAAACGCTGACAAGTTGGGCAAATCAAAGAAGATCGGATGTCCCTTTGAAATGTTGGGCAACTTCTACAAGAGGGACGGACACTACAGGATCAAGATCAAGAACCCTAATCACAACCACCCAGCCTCGGAGGATCCATACATTCATCCAATCCATCGATGTTTGACCAAATCACAAAGAGAAAGGGTCACCAAAATAACCAACGCCGGTGTTGCACCCCTGAAGATCAAGTCAGCTTTAGTTCAAAACACCCAGGCCCCCTCACACGCCACACTCAACACCATTTACAATCACCGAGGGAAGATGCGCCTGGAACAGCTCGATGGACACACACCATTTGAGGCCCTTGTGCATCAAATCCGCCAACATGATGGACAGTGTTGAAGGTCACATGACCTCGTTCTTTTTTGCTCACCCCCGTTCACTTGAATTGGCCAAACGCTTCCCAACCACATGTTATGAGCTGTGGAGGACTGGAACTGGGGATGTTACATATGTAGAGAGCCTGTTATGTACATGTCACGAACTTCGAACTTGGAGTTCGTTCGAGATCCGAACCTTGTACATTCCTCATCTTGCAATCTACCATCAATACTCAGAACCCTGAAGATCCATCCCCTGCTCTCCCCAGAACACCCATAACATATTGCAAGATCAACTTATACGGAGACCAGGAACGAAACACCCAGAACACCACCCTACACCACAGGTTGTGGTGGACGGATGCTTGACGGAAAAGATTCCGTTGGCTTGACCTGTGCCGCCCCGACGACAAATTGGGGGTGCTTCATAGCGGGGGGCGTAAATCCCCGCGGTCGGCTTGACCCTGCAACGTTGGCTTGCCCGCGGTTGCAGGGTTGGTTTGCGGCGGCCTCCTTGACTGCAGTACGTCGGCAAGGGGCTGTCGTTTGATGTTGGCTGGCCGGCTGCGACTGACGAGCGCTTGCGGTCAACTGTGAGCGTTGACCTACCAGTAAGAGCCAACAGCGGCTCGCGGTTAGCTGGCTTCGCCGGCTTTGCGGGAACAGCCAGTGTTGGGCTGCCGACGGCAGCCAACCACATCATTCTTCCGCTGTCAACCACAGCCGTTAGAAGCAGTCCACAACTACTTCCGGCTGCTGTAAAGAAAGCAGTAGATTGTTGATTTGCGGGATGTTTTATTGATTGAAGATACTAATCTGACAGCGATTAGATTATTTTAGGATGTACAAAGAAAGGAGTGATAAAAAACAAAAAGAAACGAGTAACAGTAGTGAAACCAATTCAGGTAGTGAGAAAACGAGTCAAGGGAAATCAGGCGCATCAAGAGCTTGCATTTCTCGTGTGCTATCTTTTTGAGCAAGCGCTATGTTGACATCATCAACAGAAGGAATAGAGAATTGGTCCTTCGGGATCGTGTGAAATTGCTTTCCATGCGAAAACAACTCTTTGTCCTTTTTTAAGACAAGAGTTGCATGCCTTAATCAATGAGATATGTCAGGACAGCTCAGTTATCGGAAAAAGAAAGAAGATGAACGTACATGGTTTGAAACTCAGAAGTTGACTTGCGGAGGATCGCAAGTCGCTGGTCAATCACACCCCATTGCGTACCTGTTGATGATGGGTGGGTGTAGAAGTAGACAAGGACCAGACGAAGATAGGCCATACGAATTCGCATGAGCCAGTTGGATTCGACTCGGTTTTTTATTTGTTCTTCGGTCCATTTTTGGTTTTCCGGTGGGAGGTCAGAATAAATCTGAAAGGCAAGCGAACAAAAAAAACAAGCAAAAGAGGACAAAACCAGTCAGCTTCCATGGCAGAAGCCAGAAGCAGTCGGCAGAGATCCTTACCAAAGTGACCAGCGCATATCGATTTGGGACCGGGCCTGTGATCGCAATTCGCTTGGTCTCCAGGATGTTGGTCAGAATCTAAGAATTGTAAATGTTGACTTCAATGCACACAATTCACTTTGTAGGATGATGGACGTTGGAAGATATCAACTTACCAGTACACGTAGGTGACTGCGTTGGTGTTTTAATAATTTGCCGACAACTTGAGTATACAGTTTCAAAGCTGCCGACTCTCCTTTGAGTTGCTTTGGAGGAAGGTTATCGTCTCTCCACTCATCAGGCTGTTTGTCAACAGCATCCTGGTAAAAAAACCAATCAGTCACCGGGAAACGGAAGCAAGAAATTCAAATACATACCAACGAAATGTAGTAGAGAGTTTTGGGGAGTGCCCCACTCTTATTTGGATTGTTTGAGTAAGCCTCAAGAGTCGGAATCAGGAATGACATCCTAGCATTGGTCCTGACAAAAGTCTTATTGGCAAGATTGACAGAGGTCAAAACAAGCCGGAATGGAGATGTAAGAAGATCTGTAAGATTAACCTCACCTTGAATGTGTCCCCGTATGGAACAGACGATGCGATTGAGGACTGATGTTGTTGGGTTGCAAGAAGACCGTACATGACATTAGCATGCCTCTCAGGTGTGGGACACTGGAAGAACAAACACATGTTAGCAATGGGATAACCATTGATTAGAAAGATTGGAATGAGTTACCTTGCTTGCTTTACGGGCAATCTGATCATGTTCATCATCAAGATGATGAAACGATTGCAGTGCTGAGCAGATTTTATCCATCGAGGTCGACGGTGGCAAACGAGAAAAGTTGGATTGAGCATTGGTGTCACACACAATATCGTGTTCGTCCTCTGACTCCTCTGATGTTTGCCTAACACGCTTTGGGGATTTTTGAGATACCGGTGAGTGTTGAGAAGAAGGAAGTGGAGTGGAGTGGGCAGGAGATTCATCTTCTTCCTCTGGACAATAAGAAGCAGTCGGATCACCATCATCTCCAAAAAGGGGATCATTGAAGTTCATGGTAAGATTAAGAAGGATCGGAAAACAGGACAGTTAGATGATCAGGTGGTGTTGGAAGCTGGGGTTTGTTGGTGAAGAAGATCGATAAAGTGATGATGACGCGGTCTTATAAAGTGAAGTTAATGTCAGAAACAATTAAAAGTCAAATTAGTGGTAAAGGTCACCGGTCAGCAATTAGTGAGTCCAAGAATCCCAACACAGGACTGAAAACCCGATCAAGCCGGTTGGATCAAGATACAAAAATCAACACTTCATAGACATGCGACCAGATAAATGTAAGAGAAAAGAGAGTTTATGTGGAGCCAAGAAGTATCACCAGACTGATTACTTCTTGCAATAGATTTTTTTGAGGAGGAAACAGACCGGTTCAGTTGCATCCTCTGCGGTGGAAAGAGCACCACAAACCAAAAGAAGCATGCTCGCGGCGAACGGCATCAAAACCTTGTTCGATTGGACGAAGAGCGTCTTCAGAGACAGCAAGAGAGGATCGCCGCCAACGAAGCTTTAAACCAAGACGAGTCAAACCGGCCAAGAGTCGAGATTGAAACGATAACCAACACTGACTTACAAAATGAGCAACTCCAACCTCTGTTGGCTCAGAATGATGATGAAAGCGATGTAGTACCCATCAACCTTTTTGAAGACGGCGAGAGTGAACATGAGGAAGAAGAGATGGACTGGTTGAACCTACTTGGTGTTTCCATTGATCAGATTGATGATGAACCAGCTGACTCATTTGAAGAACATCCAGTACCTGCTTATCAGCGTGATGTTGTTGAAATCGAGGAAATTACGACTATAGACTCCCCATGGTTTCCTTTTGTAAACAAAGAAGTGAGCCATAGATTCTCTTGAAGGAAAAAAATAATTCAAAGAATTCAAACTGAGACAAATTTCTTTAGTACCTTATTGGATCTTTACTGGTTGGATACTTACATAAACTAATCTCTAGAGACCTGTACCATCAAATTTGTAGCATATTGACATTATGTCAGACCAATTTGCCAGGGTGGGATGCGTTGAGGAGTACCCGGAAGAAGATACGGCTAATGAGTCACCACTCTCTGGTTGAAAAGGAATCAGCATTTGGGAAGCCAATGTTTGCGCTTGATCTCAGAGAGATAATTTCAGACGTGAGTACTTTCTTCTCTTGCAACCTTAGGGTAAAACTTGGATTGATGCCTGAATTCTTTAATGCCCATAGGATTTAAGGAATCCCTTGGTCGTTCCCCACTTGGATTTCCTGCCGGAAGACACACATGGAAGGGACATATTCAAGACTTCACAGTCGGCAAAGTGGCTCAAGCATCTTGAACCAGATCTCCGCGTACAAATGGTGGCCTACAACGAGAAACACTACTATACTTATGAGCCGGTCCAACTAAAGAATGACGAAATTGTTATCCCCATCTTCTTCCACACATTTCAATCCAATACTTTCGCCAAATGCTACAAGCCTCAACTCAAATCAAACAGGATCAAATCAATGGTTAAGATAACTATTGCCAGTAACATCTTATATGATGATCCTAATTTACAAGAAATACCTTTGGAAGATTTTGATCTTCTCTATCCTGAAATCCTTTCAAGTGACGGTCTGAAGCTATTGGAAACCTGTGGGAACTTGATTTATCGTAAGAGATGAGATTTATATTGATTGAACCAGAAAGTATTGCTCAATAAGTTTGACTTTGATGTTTGCAAAGAACAAGATAGTGAAGCCACGATTACTCTACCAAATCCTTGGAGAGAAAAAGCCAATGGAAAGATAATTCGACATGTACCACTGAACATGTATTGCGATGATACTTCTGGAAATAAATCCAAAAAGTGGAACAAGCACATCTCGTATTACTTTACACTCTCCGGATTACCTCCGAAGATCTCAAATCAACAATTCAACTGCCATTTCCTGTGCACCTCAAACATTGCTGGAGCGTTGGACCTTGGGGAGATTGTAGTTCAGCAGTTAAAGTAGAATTACATATTGTTTCTTTGATTTAAATTTCTAACTTTTTTCCCTAAAGATGATGTTAGTTTGACCTGCTGAATTTTCATTTTTTTTTTCATTCCCTTAGTGAGATGGTGAACAACGGCTTTGAAGCATACGATATGACACTGTCTCAAACTGTTCTGGTCATGGCTCCGCTCTTATGCTTTATGGCTGACTCGCCGATGCACGCAGAAATAACCAACACTCCTGTCCCAGGACCTTCCCTGAATCCATGTCGAGTTTGCCACCTCAGTTCCACAAGTATCAAAGACCGGCAGACATTGAGTTACATTTCCAAATTTCTAAATAAAAACACACACGGATCAAATGTATTTTGCTTTCTTCTTTTCCAAAGTTGAAACTGAGGTGTTTGCTAAGTGTATTTTTTCTTTCTTATTAAAAAAGCAACCCAATAATTTTAGAACCACAGAGAAAACGATTCGAGATAGTGAAGCGCTTTGGAAATACGTCAAAGAAAACGCCCAGACCATGAATAAGGAAAAGTTGGATGAAAAATCGGTTGAGCTTGGAATCCGAGATCAGACAAATCGCAAGTTTTTGAAAAGAATCATTGCATTCAGAGCAACAAAGAAAGCATTACTCCAAGATGGAAAAGAATTGCCACCAGAAATGGATCAACCTATCCCTCAAGACTTGGTTGATTTGGAGCTGAAAGATAAATCACGAATGCTCAGTCCTTTTCTGAAATTAAGAGGCTTGTGTTTTTACTTCAAGGTTTATTTGAACGTTTGAATTTATTTCTAATTCCTGCATTCTTCCCCTTAGGTTTTGACATGGTGAAAGACACCCCGGTTGAAATTTTACATGTCTTCCTGCTTGGAATTGTAAAATATTTATTTACAGATTTCATGAGTAAATTGAATCAAGACCAAAAAGATGAACTCACAGCATTATGGCATTCCTTCAACAAAGACTCTCTAAATATCCCTTCAATCAGACCAGATAGTATGGTGCAATATTCTTCAAGCATAATTGGTAAAGACTTTAGAATCATCCTTCAAGCAGCTCCCTTCATTTTCTTCCGGTTTATGACACCTTCCCGCATCAAAATCTGGACTTCTCTCTGCAATCTTGCTTCTTTAATCTTCCAAACACATATTGATAACATGCCAGTTTATATTGCTGATTTGAAGAATCTTATTGATATATTCTTAAATCAAATTATTCAAGATTCTGGCCAATGGGTTAATAAACCAAAATTCCACATGCTACTTCATCTTCCAGATTCTATCCTCCGATTTGGTCCTGCTTCTCTTTTTGCAACTGAACAATTTGAAAGTTATAATGGTATTCTTAGAAATGCATCAATTCACTCCAACCGCCAAAGCCCTGGCCAAGATATTGCCATTACATTTAGCAACTATAACTCTTTCCGCCAAATTCTTTCTAGTGGATTCTTTTTTGATAAAAAACAAAATAAATATGTACAAGCTTCAAACTCAGTTATGAATATATTTAAATATAATCCCTTAATTCAGAAAACCTTTGGCTTGAACAATTCATCATCCTCAAAGAATATCCACTATCCTTCTGTTTGTAAAATCCCAGTAGCAAAACTTGATAAATTAGATGTTCCTCAAGACTTGAACTCAGCATATCCTGGCCATCAAATTCAACAAATATCTGCTTTAACTCTGAATGAAAAGGCGCAAGTCCTCAAGAAGCATTACTTTATTCTGGTATTTCTCCTTTGTGCTTCTCACTCTTTTGATCTACAATATTGACATTTCCTTGAGCATTTATGTAGTTCAACAATACGTCTGATGGATCCCAACATGTTGGACGTGTAAAATCAATCTGGATGATCAAAAAAGAATCTCTTCAAGCACAATTTTTCATTGACACCACTATTTTTCAAACAACAGGGGAAAGCCCTTTTTACAGTATGCGGCAGATAAGAAAAACTACACAAACCACCTTGGTGAACTCAATTGTAAGCCCAATTCCTTCAGCTTATTCTCTGATAGGTTGTTGACAAAAATGTTTTTTAGTGTATTGAGTCTGGATTGAATTGCCAGCACAATTGTGACCGAGGCAACTGTACAATCACCCCAACCGAAGTCGTTATTGTTGAGAGGAGGAAGAGCTCTGTCATGCGGCCTCAAGTGAAACATAATGACGATGATAACTATGTCATTAACTCGGCATCGCTATCCGCTCAAGTCTCTCACAGGAAGATTTCCAGTTTAAATTTCAAAGCCATACCGCCGTTGGATTGGATCGATGCTCTACATGATGGTTTGAATAATTGGGGTTCGAGCGTAGAAAAGAAGCAAACGAGGAAACGGAAACGAGCAACAACAGCATCGGCCTCTGGAACACAATTTGATCCAAGCTTAAACTAAAACAATAATTGATTAATACAGTTTTTTTGAATCTCATTCTTTTTTGTCTCGGTGATTGTTGAGGGTTGAGTGTTGAGAAGAAGTGGAACAGAAACAGTCTTGTTTCTTATAGATCATTTGGATGTCACTCTCTTCGCTTTTGATGGATGATTGATAAGGGGGGTACAAGGTGTATGGAAGGGTTTCTCTCACTCTAAGAGTGGTCGTTCCCGCGATTATTGCGTTCCATTGAAGCGTGATACCCTGGTGGAACGATAAAGCGACCGAGTCTTTCGGCTTCTTCATTGTGGAAGATTCGATAAGAACGAACCAAGACCTGTCTGTTGGCGGAAATCTGTGAGAATGCATGACAAAAAAGGGATTGATCAGTTTCCTGTTCAGGTCAAGGTGATGAGGCTTTTGTTGCAATAAACACTTACCGAGGCTATTTCAGCCAAAGCTTGAGCCAAGGCTTCTCTCATGGTCAACGGCCCAATGAAGCATTCCTGGATAGTTGGCGTGTTGACAGGATCATCGGGGATCTCGATGGGGAATTCGGCCGAATCGCCAGCGAACGTGATACTAGGGCTGTGGCCTTCGAAAACTGGCGGCATTCTTGATATGAGTTCGTGTTGTTGGTGTTCCGATTCAGGTTGGTGAGTTGGGATGACCTTGTCCGATCACACCACAGGTCATCGAAATGGAGCGTCAAGCCAACTGCGGCTTTACAAAGCAGTTGGCTTGACGCTCCTGGTCCTGAGGCCAAGCTGACGGCAGCATTGCCAGTTGTTTACCAGCTGCTGCCGTTGGCCAGCCTGTCTGGGCGGCCTACGGAAACGTGGTCAAGCCCAACCGGTGCTTGACGCGGGGTCAAGCTGACGCAGCGCCATTTCCCAAACCCGACCGTGGTGTACAAACCTAGAAAATCAACCTTGAAAACTCACCTCTCAAACCTTGAAAATCATCCCCTTGAACTTCTCTCAAACCTTGTCTATCAACCCTGAAAACTTACTCCCTACCTCCCTCTCACCCTCACAGACCCCTCAGGACCCCCCAGGAGGTTGTTTTTTTGTGTTTTTCGTTGGATCGCACCGGATTGTTTGTTTTTGTTCGTCGGATCGTCGTAGGGCCCTCGGAACACGCCCAGGACCCTCGGATACCGTTCGGAACGCTTGGATTGCACTCGGAACGGCCCCTAGACCCCTCTAGACCCCCCAACAACCCCAGATCGTCGTCGGACGCTCCAGAACCAACCGGATTGTCGTCGGACAACCCAGACAGGCCCCCAGCGCCCCGGAGCACCCCACAGAGCGCCAGCACCCTCCCCATTTCCCACCAAGGCCTCCTGAAGGCCCCTGACGCCTGTAGACGGGCCCCTAGACACCAGGCGACTCCCCAGAGCACCCAGCAGCCCACTGGAGCGCCCCCAAGCCACCAAGTGACCCCTTAGAGCCCCCCAGTGCGCCCCAAAGACACCCTGAGACCCCCAAGCAGAAGACAGACCCCCTGGAAGACCCCTGGCCGTTTTTTTTTTGAGACCCAGGCCCCCAAATCAGACCCCAGACCCCCAGAACAACCCCTTAGACCTCTGTGGGACCCCAGACCCCCCAGAATAACCCCAAGACCCCCAGAATAAACCCCCCGACCCCCTGAAAGAACCCAAGACCCGCAGTGAAACCCCTGAAAGACCCCCAGACCCCCCGAAAAACCTGAAAGACCCCAGACCCCCAGAAAAACCCCCGAAAGACCCAAGACACCCCAGACCCCCGAAGAGAGCTCACACGAGCCGTTTGGCGAGGCGTAAAAGTACAAAAGTAAGCCTCCACAATTTTAGTTGCACCTTCCGAAGTCACTACACACCTTCAAAGCATTACCTGCCACTCTGTGAGCCGCCCCGTACTGTTTTGCTATGGACGTAGACAAGAAGGACGCCAAGCTCGCCAAGGTCCAGGCGCAACTGTCCCAACTCTTGGCCGTGGTCGAGGAAGAACGCAAGTTCCGGAAGGAGACGGAGGAGCGCTTAGCCAGAAAGGAGGCCCAATTGGCAAAGGCCCTGAAGAACGCCAACAATAAACCGCAAGGACCAGCCCCGCCGGCCAAAGGCCCAAAGATTGGCGTCCCTGACAAGTTCGATGGCACCCGTGGAGCTAAAGCGGAGGTTTTCATCAACCAGGTAAACCTCTATGTCCTGGCCAACGGACACCTCTTTGGCACCAACCGCGCCATTATGGTGTTTGTGTTGTCCTACCTGACTGGACCGGCTAGCTCTCGGGCCCAACCGTGGATGAAGAAGGTGATGAGCAATACTGAAGCTATCAGTAAAGACGAATTTGACACTCAGTTCACCGCCATGTACTGCGACACCGAGAAGAAGACCAAGGCGGAAGCAGCCCTACAAGCGCTCAAGCAGACCAAGTTGTTTCTCACTACACCCACCAGTTCAACCTGTACGCCCACAACACCGGCTGGGCTCCCGCCGTCCTCCTCAGCCAGTAAAGACAAGGCCTGCAATCCCAAATACGCCTGATGCTGCTGATGAGTCGTACCTAATTCTCTGAACTGGCCGACATCGCCACCCTGGCCCTGCAGATCGACAATGAACTCCACGGCCTAGCACCCACTGAGACGGCCAAGACCCCGGACCCCATTGCAATGGACTTATCAGTCATGCGTGGCCGCCTTTCGGATGCGGAGAAGACCAGGATGATGCAAGTGGGCCAGTGCTTCCGATGTGGGAACCAAGGCCACATCTTGAGGGATTGCCCGGACCATGGACAGAAGGGGAAAGGGAAGGAGAAGTCCCGGATTGCCAAACTCGAAGAAGATGTCAAACAGTTGAAGGCAGGAGGCAGTAGAGCGCAGTTGTCAAAAAATGGAGGAGCTCAGGAATGAAGGATGTGCCTATCCTGAGCAGTGGAGAGTTATTTGTTGTTAGCATTGGCGCCAGTGAAATTTTTTTCAAGAAATCAAATTGATCCGCGTTTATTTATTTCTTTGCCCATCGTGCCACCCAAACATTCTCGAGCCACAACCCCATTGCCACTCCCTCCCGCTACTTTTCTCATTGACTCTGGAGCAACCCATGACGTAATTGGTGAGTCATATGCCAAGTCTACGGGACTCCTTGATATTGCCAGACCCTCTCATCGTACCATATCTGGTTTTGACGGTTCCTCAAGCCGTTCTTCATTTGATATCCACCTGACTCTTGACACCGACACATCTCCTTCCCCATTCATCATCACTTGCCTGAAAGACTCTTACGACGGGATCCTTGGAATGCCTTGGATCCGTAAGCATGGACACCTCATCAATTGGACTGACCGGAAATTCAGGAAAACCCCACAGGATTTTGCAGCTGTCAATGCAGCTTCGTCAATTCCAAAAAACCCTCACCTTTTGGCGTGGATCCCGTGAGGCAAGCTGGGATTTTTGACGAGGGGGTATGTGTCTCTGACACGTTTACACCCCCGCAATGTGAGTTTGCTGCAGTCCCTTCCAAAATTCCTATTGAAACAGCTGGCAAGCCTCTTCCCTTCCTAGGACATAGCACCACCGACCGGATCCCAACCACCGAAGACAGGACCATTGCAACTGCCGAGCCAGTTTTGCCAATTCCGACAAAGGCCTCATCTATTGGCGTGGATCCCGTGAGGCAAGCTAGGATTTTTGGCAAGGGGGTGTGTGTTTCTGACACGTTAACACCCCCGCAATGTGAGTTTGCTGCGGTCCCTTCCATAAATTCTGTTGAAACAGCTGGCAAGCCTCTTCCTCTCCTAGAACTTGTTCCAACCGCAGATGTCAGCGCCGCCAAAGCCTCTTGGTCAACATCGGCTCAACTCGCGGCGGACAGCAAGGCCAAGACCCCTGTGAAGACGGCAGAAGAACTAGTCCCGACCCACTATCACCGGTATATCAACATGTTCCGCAAGTCCAGTGCCCAGAAACTGCCACCCAGAAGAATCTACAACTTTCGAGTGGACCTGGTGCCGGGAGCCCTCCCCCAAGCAAGCAGGATCATTCCCCTGTCACCCGCCAAAAACCAAGCACTAGACACCCTGATCAATGAAGAACTAGAAAACGGCACCATCAGACAAACCACTTCGCCCTGGGCAGCACCAGTGCTGTTCACCGGGAAGAAGGACGGCAACTTACGCCCATGTTTTGACTACCGGAAGCTCAATGCGGTTACCGTGAAGAACAAGTACCCCCTACCCCTGACGATGGACCTGGTTGATAGCCTACTTGACGCTGACACTTTCACCAAGCTCGAACTGAGAAACTCCTACGGAAATCTACGTGTAGCAGGGGGTGACGAGGAGAAGCTGGCTTTTGTCTGTTGACAAGGACAATTCGCACCGTTGACTATGCCATTTGGACCAACAGGAGCACCAGGCTACTTTCAATATTTCATGCAAGACATCCTGTTGGGACGGATTGGGAAGGACACGGCAGCTTACCTGGACGACATCATGATCTACATGCAGAAGGGAACCAACCACCAAGCGGCTGTCATGGGAGTATTGGAGACACTTAGCAAGCATCAACTTTGGCTGAAACCGGAAAAATGTGCTCTCAACCAGAAGTGGAATACTTGGGACTGTTGATATCATGTAACCGGCTGAGGATGGACCCGACTAAAGTCAAAGCTGTATCCGAAAGGCCACCACCCAAGAATGTGACCAAACTACAGCGTTTTATTGGCTTCTCAAACTTCTACCGGCGATTCATTGACCACTTTTCAGGAATAGCCTGACCTCTCCACGACTTGACCAAGGACAAAACTCCCTATGTCTGGGACGACCGGTGCAACAAGGCCTTTGAAACTCTGAAAACCGCGTTCACCACGGCGCCAGTACTGAAGATAGCCAACCCATACAGGCCTTTTTTCCTTGAATTTGACTGCTCGGACTTTGCACTCGGTGCCGTCTTATCCCAAATCTGCGACAAGGATCAAGAACTTCACCCGGTGGTGCATTTATCACGATCACTGGTCCAATCCAAGAAGAACTATGAGATTTTTGACAAGGAATTGCTGGCAATTGTGGCATCTTTCAAGGAATGGCGTCACTATCTAGAGGGCAACCCAAATCAACTACAAGCAATTGTGTACACCGACCACCGGAACCTTGAAAGCTTCATGACAACCAAGCAACTGACAAGGAGGCAAGCAAGATGGGCCAAAACCATGGGATGCTTCGACTTTGAGATTGTTTTCCGACCTGGCCGACAGTCATCCAAACCGGATGCTCTGTCCAGACGACCCGGCCTGGCGCCTTTGAAGGAGGACAAGCTCACCTTTGGACAACTTTTGCGACCCGAGAACATCACCCCCAACACGTTTGCTGAAGTGGCTGAATTTGACTGCTGGTTTGAAGACGAGTCTGTGGATCTGGATGACGCCGAACATTGGTTCCAAGTGGACATTCTCGGTGTGGAGGAGCCCAACACCCTGTCAGAGGATATTCCAACAGACAGCGAACTGATAAGCCAAATCCAATCACTGACTCCATCTGATTCCAGACTGACCGAATTGATTTCAGCCTGTGAGAACCCAGTGTCCAGTCGAATGAAGGAGGCCACCAAGCATTACTCGGTGAAAGACGGAGTGCTT